TTTTTTTGCATGTATTTGTCTAATTTTTCCAACACCACTTATTGAAGAGACTATCTTTACTTATTGTATGCTCTTGCCTCCTTTGTCAAATATTAATAGCCCATAAAGGCATGCGTTGGTTTCTGGAGTCCCTGTTCTGTTCTATATGCCTGTTCTTGTGCCACTGCCAGGTTATTTTGCTTACAATGGCTTTGTAGTATAGTTTGATATCTGGTATTGTGATCCCTCTAACTTTGTTCTCTTTCTCAAGATTGCTGCAGCTATTTGGGATCTTTTTGGGTGCCATATAAATTTTTAGAATATTTGTTCTAAATCTGAAAAGTATTTTAATAGGGGTTATATTGAATCTATAGATTGCTTTGGTGGTATGGACATCTTAATGATGTTAATTCTTCCAATACATGAACACGGCATATAATTCCACTTGTTTCTATCTTCCTCTTTTTCTTTTTTCAATGTCCTATAGTTTTCTGAGTATAGGTCTTTTACCTCCTTGGTTAAGTTTATTCCTAGGTATCTTATTTTTTTCATTGCAAAGTTAAATGTGATTGGTTTTTGTTGTTGTTTTTCATTTTTTTTTCTGTTTTATTGTTGTTTTTAATCCTCACCTGAGGACATTTTTTCACATTGATTTGTTAGAGAGTGAAGTGAGGAAGGGAGGGGAAGAGAGATAAAGAGAGAGAGAGAAACATTGATGTGAGAGGGACACATTGATTATTTGCCTCCTGCACATGCCATGACCAGGCCTGGGATTGAACCTGCAACCAGGTAGATGTCCTTGACCTGAAATTGAATCATTGACCCACCACTATGCAGGCTGACACTCTAACCACTGAGCAACACCAGCCAGGACAAGATTGTGTTTGTCTTTTTAGTTTCTCTTTCTGAGAGTTCATTATTAATATATTAAAATGCCATTGATTTCTGGATGTTAATTTCCTATCCTGCTACTTCATCAGATTCATTTATAAAATCTAGTAGTTTTTTGGTGGAGTCCTTAGGGTTTTCATGTCATCTGTGAATAATGAGAGTTTTACTTCCTCCTTTCCAATTTGGTGCCTTTTTTTCGTTTCTCTGATTGCTGTGGTTAGGACTTCTAATACTATGTTAAATAAGAGTGGTGAAAGTGAACAACCCTGTCTTGTGCCTGTTTTAAGGGAACAATTTTAGTTTTTGCCCATTGAGTATGATGTTGGGTATAGGTTTGTCATATATGGCCTTTATTATATTGAGGTATCATCCCTCTATTCCCACTTTGCTGAGAGTTTTTATTAAAAATGAATGCTAGGATGGATGGAACTGGAGAGCATTATGCTAAGTGAAATAAGCCAGTCAATGAAGGAAAAATACCACATGATCTCACTCATTTATGGATAATAAAGACCATTATAAACTTATGAACAAAAATAGATACAGAGGCAGAGCAGCCTCGAACAGACTGTCAAACTACAGCGGGAAGGCCGGGGAGGGTTGGGGGGCAGGAGGGGAGGGTAAGAGATCAACCGAAGGACTTGTATGCATGCATATAAGCATAACCAATGGACATAAGACACTGGGAGGTAGGGGAGGCCAGGGGATTGTCAAGGGCGGGGAAAAAAGGAGACATATGTAATACTCTTTGTAATACTTTAAGCAATAAAACAATTTTAAAAAATGCATGCTGGGGACCCGGAACAACAAAGCGCGAAAGAGGGAGCCGGTGCCTCGGGGGCTCCTAGCAACAGGCTGGGGCGGGAGTTCCATGGAGACTGGGGAGCGCGGCGGCCTCATCATCATCCTCGTCCTCCAGCTTATCCTTCAAGTCCGATGCCACGGGCGTCCTCTGCCACCGCCCCCTCTTCCCACGGATGTGATCTTTGTGGTGGAAAGCTAAGTTTTTAAACTACCCCAATGGATGCAGACAGTGATGTTGCATTGGACATTCTAATTAATGTAGTCTGTGTTTTTAGAACAAGATGCCATTTGAACTTAAGGAAGATTGCTTTGGAGGGAGCAAATGTAATTTATAAGCGTGATGTTGGAAAAGTATTAATGAAACTTAGAAAACCTAGAATTACAGCTACAATTTCCTCCTCAGGAAAAATTATTTGCACTGGAGCAACAAGTGAAGAAGAAGCTAAATTTGGTGCCAGGCGTCTAGCCCGCAGTCTGCAGAAACTAGGTTTTCAGGTAATATTTACAGATTTTAAGGTTGTTAATGTTTTAGCAGTGTGTAACATGCCATTTGAAATCCGTTTGCCAGAATTCACGAAGAACAATAGACCTCATGCCAGGTAGGTCTTTGAGAAATCAAAGTAACTTACCAAATTTGAAATTACTTGTCAGGCTATACTTATATTGTGGCTTTCTTTGTGTAGTTATGAACCTGAACTTCATCCTGCTGTGTGCTATCGGATAAAATCTCTACGAGCTACATTACAGATTTTTTCAACAGGAAGTATCACAGTAACAGGGCCCAATGTAAA